ACATATACAGCAGTATTGCACAGCCCTTTTCAGGTCCTGTAGGGAGATAACGCAGCCTTCCCAATGTTTCTAAGGGAAAACAAAGGAGACAAGCTTGAATAAACTTTAGGTGCTATAGACACATGCTCCAAATCAAGTTCATTAAAACCCTGGACCCTTACTGGAAGAATGCTTCCCAATTTCTCTTTATTTCTAATATTAAGAGACAGCTGTATTTCCAATTTCTTCTCAAACACAGTTCAAAGCCTTCAGTGAGGACTTCTGGATGGGCCCATCCGTGTTTGGTCTGGTATTCAACAGCAGGTAGGCATTTCTTCCTCAATACATGAGTTACAAGTAAATAATTTTCTGCAACTTCCACAGACTGAATTCAAGGTCAAGCTCAGTGAGTCTCCACACTCTATTCCTTGGCAATAGGATGCAGTGGATGGTAAAAGTTCATATGCTTCCAAGGGGGAGTCTTCTCTCATGGAAGAGAGGTCTACTGAGGGTCATTAGCACATTCAGGAGCACAACTATGTCAGGAAGTCCTTGAGCCAAAAATGGCTGTAGGCTGGGAGAGTATCAGGGAGACATCTGATAGAAGCCAGTCCTGTGCTTAAGCTCTTCTTTGAGCATCCATCTCCTGGCCACTGCCAGGAGGGAGGGTACTGCAGGAGGCGGGCTGCCTTCTGACCCGGCGCAGATGTTCTGTGCAGTGGGTCTCTCCCCTCAGTGCTGTCCTGCCTGCGGTAAACACCCCTCCACAGCTCAGCAAGGATAAAATGCTTACCTACCTTCCAGGGGCTTTGTGAAGATTACCTCCATACCTGTACAATGCTACGTGAGCACCAAGAGTTAGGGCAAGCTCCCTCGTTGGAAGATTCCTCACAGATTATGAACGCATGTATATAACCTTTGGTAGACGCTTTGAAGCCAAGTGCCAGACCCCTGCTATAATTTATCCCCTCTTCCTGCTGCTTCCAGAGGCATAGAGAGGGAGCCTCAGCACACACCAAAACCAGGCCTAGCGAGTATGTAACTTCAGAGGCACTTCAGGCAGTTGGCGGGTCTTCCGGTATCTGGCTTCATGGTGAAATGGTTGGGCAGAGCTTTCTGCCACTGGGTAGCACGGCTAACAAACCTAACTCAAAACCTAGTCGCAGATCTAGGTTTAAGTCAGGGGCACCAACACAACCCTAACGGTACCTGAACACCACCCATTGCACTTCACGGGCAAGCGTGTGGTTCAGGCCCCATCTTTGCTGAACCTCACTGAAATGCAGGTCTTTGATTTGAAGAAAAAAACGAACAAAGATGGAAACTCAGTGACAAACTTTCTTTCTCTCAGTTTCTGAACCACAACAGCTTGCTCAGCTCATAAATTCAAGGGCGTGTGAGTCCCAGGGCCAGAAGAGCCGTCCCCTCCTCACGCAGGCAGGATGGCACCAGACGGGGCTTCGATTCCCCACCTCCTCGGGGAACGCCATCCCATGTCCCCTCCGGGGCCTCCTCAGGAAGCCGGGCCACAGGCCGTGCCAGCTGTGAGTGCGGA